CCCCCCCCCCCCCCCCCCCGGCTCCCTTCCTTCTTGCCACCCGGGGCCTACCTGGGGGGGCCCAGTCAGCAGCAGCCGCCGAGGGTGGCAGGCGCGGGCGCCGGAGGCGGGGTCTGGCTGGTTGCTGAAGTCGGCGTGGTGCTGACGAGCCGAGGTCCACTGCCGGTAGTAGAGGGACTGCTCCTCGCTGCTCATGTCCTTGTGTAGCAGCGGCCGCAGGGAGCTCACCCAGGCCACGTCGGCGTGTGGCAGCAGCGAGGAGGACGCGGGCGGCTTGCCTCCCCGCTGCGAGCCCAGCAGGCTATAGGCCGCTTTCGATAAGATCACGATGGGGGGCAGGGCGGCGTGCAGGCCCCTGCAGCCTTGGGGCAGCTGCCCGGGCCACGACAGGGCCCGGGGTCCCGAGGAGGAGGAGGAGGAGGACGACGACGACGGCTTGGAGGTGGTGCTGCTGGCCATCTGGGGGCCCAGGGAATCACACTCCTGCTTCAGGGTCTCCCCGGCTCCCCCTGTGCCTGTGGAGACCCCTTCATCCAGGCCCATGCTGTTGGCCGGGCTCTGGAAGCTGGGGGTCAGCGACAGCTTCTGGGACCTATCAGCCGCGCTGGAAGAGCTCACCCCGTTCTCCATGATGGAGCCTGAAAGAGGACAACCCACCCGTGGCCATCAGCAGGACTCGGCTCTTTATTCCCTGGCCCCCTCTCTGCACGGAGCCAGGCTGGACTGCCTTGTCTCCATGAGGGCTGCTCCCTCTCCTGGCGCCCCGGGGGGTAACTATACCTCCTTGTCCTTTTCTAATTCCTACCCCCAGCTTTGTAAAGCGTGTGATGTTATGAAACTCTCCTCTGTTACTTCGTTTGGCGATGTGGTCTGATTCATTCCAGATTCTGGACCAATACAAGCTCCCCAGCCAAGTCCTTCCTACTCCAGGGCACTTCCCTCCTCCTGGGGTCCAAGGGCCTCACACTTCTGGTTGTGGAGAAGTTCCCCAGGGGGTAGCCACTTCCATGGATGCCCAAACCAGTGTGGGGAACCGGCTCCATGTGGCGAGGATGGAAGGCATAATCTATGCTCAGTGAGGTCTTGCTTTCCCCCAGAGGTCCCTGTGGATTTGGCCAATTCAAATATGTTTTCCCCTCTGATAGGTCCCACTCTTTGGTTTGTGGACACATTCAGGACTGAAAGCCCTCTCTGACCTGGGGTTGGTGCTCCCCGGCATGTAGGTCATATCCCAACCTCAGGAGATCCTAGAGGAATAGCCAGTAACCGGAGGTCACTGCAACCAAGTCACTCCACTTGCTCATCTGACTTTCGTGTCTTTCCGTCTTGTCTGAGAGCTTACCTTTCCCCCTACGTCCCTGACCTTTACAGCCTGCACACTTGGGGCAGTGAGCCTCCCCAAGGACCCCCAGAGTCCACCTAAGGCTGAGGGATGTGTGCTCAGTGGTGGGAGCATAGCCCTTAGCTCAGGTTGTCTTCAAAGGGAGGGAAACTCTAAGCAGCAGAAGGCAAGCCATTACCTTTGTGGTTAATGAGAGCAAGGCCAAGAATATGTGAGCCTTCTGGGGCAGCTCTGCAAGTGCAGGGAATGGAGGCATCTGATTATTTTATTTTTATTTAATTTTTTTCAAAAATGCTCTTTTTATTTTTGAGGGAGAGTGACACACAGCATGAGTGAGGAGGGGCAGAGAAAGAGAGGGAGACACAGACTCTGAAACAGGCTCCAGGCTCTGAGCTGTCAGCACAGAACCCGATGAGGGGCTCGACCTCAGGAATGGCAAGATCATGACCTGAGCCAAAGTCGGATGCTTAACCAGCTGAGCCACCCAGGTGCTCCAGGAGGAGTCTGATTAAAGAGCCATGATGGGGCGCCTGGGTGGCTCAGTCGGTTAAGCATCCAACTTCAGCTCAGGGCATGATCTCACAGTTCATGGGTTCAAGCCCTGCGTCGGGCTCTGTGCTGATAGCTCAGAGCCTGGAGCCTTCTTTGGATTCCGTGTCTTCCTCTCTCTCTGCCCCTCCCCCACTCGTACTCTGCCTCTCTCTCTCTCTCTCTCTCAAAAGTAAATAAAACATTTTTAAAAAATTTAAAAAAGAAAGAGCCATGAGAACAACATAAACACCCCCTTGCCTCCCTGTCACTGATGCTGCTATCCACAAACTTTCAAATGTGCTATTTCCCCTTCTCTTCTGTTACTCTTCACTATTCCCTAAACCTGTTGGCTTTATTCTGAACTGGTCTTAGAGGAGCCTCGAGGGGGAGCCTGGAGCGGTGAGGTGAGCGAAGGTGCAGTCCTGACCCCTGGCTGAGGCGAGCAGCTCATGCTCTTCCAGGCTGAGGGTCCCTCTCAAGACACAAAGCCCCGTAGATGACTGCCTCTTTGACTCCCACAGTCATCCTGCCAGAATGAACAGACACACTCATGCTGCTTTTGACATGAAGTCGCACGTGTGTGTGTGTGTGTGTGTGTGTTTGCGTGCATGTGTCATGGTGATGGAAGAGAGGAGATGTGGGAAAGAGGAATGTTCATGGTGGTCTTCTCTGGTAGAGAGGGGTTTTCATTTTCATTTTTTTTTATTTAAAAAAATTTTTTTTCAACGTTTATTTATTTTTGGGACAGAGAGAGACAGAGCATGAACGGGGGAGGGGCAGAGAGAGAGGGAGACACAGAATCAGAAACAGGCTCCAGGCTCCGAGCCATCAGCCCAGAGCCTGACGCGGGGCTCGAACTCCCGGACCGCGAGATCGTGACCTGGCTGAAGTCGGACGCTTAACCGACTGCGCCACCCAGGCGCCCCTCATTTTCATTTTTTTTAATGTTTATTTATTTTTGAGAGAGAGAGAGTGACAGGGTGCAAGTGGGGAAGGGACAGAGAGAGAGGGAGACACAGAATCTGAAGCAGGCTCCAGGCTCCAAGCTGTCAGTACTGAGCCTGACATGGGGCTTGAAGTCACAGGCTATGAGATCATGACCTGAGCCGAAGTTGGATGCTTAACTGACTGAGCCACCCAGGGGCCCCAATTTATTTATTTTTTTAAAGTAATTTCTACCCCCAACATGGGGCTCAAACTCATGACCCCCAGATCAAGAGTCACATGCTGTACTGACTGAGCCAGCCAGGCACCCCAGAGTTTTCATTTTTAATGTCCTCTTTATCCTTTGTTACATTCCCCAAGTTTTTTTCTTTTTTTACATTCTGCACGTTTTCTATATGGAGTTTTATTACTCTCCCAATCTGAAGAAAATGGAAATAGTGCTGCATTTGCTGTAATACAGTTTCTCAGAAGAAAATTCATGCCAGGCACTGCCACAGGCCATACAGTAATGCTCTGAAAGGGGATGGCGGGCTGCATGGTGGGTCTGCACAGGCAGTGGCCCCAGAGTATACAAACATTTGCCGTTAACTACTTATAAAAGTCATTCACTCATTCCTTCATTCAAACAGGTAAACACTGTGCCAGGTACTGAGCCAATTAACACAAACTTACAGCTTTCAGATCTAGAAGGAAATGAGGGCTTTTGTGCAAATACCAGATGTATATTATCCTTGAGGTGATAAAGGGTAGAAAAGACTAGGGAAAGTGGTGCAGGTTAGGGTTTATAACATTTATTATACTTTGCTTATTACCAAGCTCTTCATTAAATGTTTACCCAGAGGAGAATTCTGTGACTGCTCTCAGTAGTTATGTTTTCCAAGTATCTTTGGATTGGGAACTGAGGTCTGGACAGGTTGCCGGAGTCCCTGAAGGCTCCTCTGACAGCCTTGAGAGGTGTGAGGGAGTAAATGCCTTTGCCTCCCCTATGTCTGTCCGCCTCCTCACTCCCATCCCTCACCCCTTGAGAGAGAAAAGGAAGCACTAACCTGAGGTTCCAGTGACAGCACTACTGTTGCTCTGTGGCCTCTCCAGGTCGATCAGCAACTCATCAGAGTCGTTCTCGCTGATGGTAGCTCTCTCCTGCTCCTTCCCACTAAGGTCCAGGGCAACAGCAGGCCCTCGGATGACCTCTTTGGAGACATAGCAGCAGGCCAGACCCACCTCCTGCTCCAAGGCTGTGCGAGTTAAATAGCTTGAGTCGATGAGCCGAAGGTCACAGTACTTCAAAGACCTATACAAAAGTAATGATGTTTTGGGTGAGTCCATCTGGCCTTGGTTTCAATCTCAGCTTTGTCACCTCCTAGCTGTTATGACCTCACAGCATCCCCTTCATTTTCTCCAAGTATAAAATAGAATAACAGTATTTGGCTCATATGGTTATTGTAAGGAATGAATGGATGGCACAGGTAAGGCATTTATAGCAACGCCTGACACACAGTGAGTATTCAACTCATGCTGTTATTATTGTTGTTGCTGCCTTCCTGTCTGCAGGCCCTGGATTCTTAAAGGGGTTGGGAACAGCAGATTAAGAGACACTTCATCCAAATTAAAAAAATCCTGTTTGGGGGCACATGCTTTTCCTCTCTGCCTCTCTGTTTTGATGCATAAACACTTCTCACTGTGGCTATCTTCCATTCCCAAATTGCTAGGCAATCCCTGGAAAGTCAAAATAGTCAAGGCAGGCTACATTTCTTATATCTCTGAGGAAAATTATTCTCTTCCCCCTTGCTAAATGAATGAAATGGTTAAGCGTCAGCCAAGTTTTAACCATCAGCTTAGCTGGATAACTAAGGAAAAATGAGAAATAATTATTCATAATGTACCTGGGAAAGGTTTCTCCAAGAGGATCTTTGCCAGTTAGTATCACAATACAAGGCAGACCTTCTAAATCTTGGTATGTCCGAGGGGTCCACTCTTCTGGTTCATTTCCTCTCCAGGTCTGTAGAAAGGGACCCATATGATAAAATTAAAACCTCTTATTTAAGTTTCCACCTCTTAAAAGATTTCTAGGTCCACATTCTATATGCATTTGTGGTTTCAAATGACTTCCGGTGTGTGTGTGTGTGTGTGTGTGTGTGTGTGTATCATATATGTGTGTGTATACTAAATTGCTACTACAAATTGGCATAATGAAGCACTCTAGAAGAGTGTGGCCTTTAGTTTTATCTCAGTAGGATAAAACAGAAGATCTTGGTATACATCATGCATTAGCCACACAAATCAAAGTAACATACAATGAAATACCCTGCCAGTGATGCAAACCTTACAGAAACCCTGGTTAAACTACCTGCCTCAAGAGTTTTAAATATATTTTCTTCATATAATGGACAGACTCTCGGGGCTGATTAACTGAAAAAGACAGTTTCAATTATGACTGACAAATAAAAGCATCTCAACTCTATGAAAACAGATATTCACCAGAAAATCATCAAGTTAGCTACCCTTGATGGTTATTCCCACCCCCCCTCCCCCATACTGACTGTCAAAATAAGTGGTAAATAATAATTGGCTTGGGGCTCTTAGAAGTCTCTCTCAAGAAGGCTAAAAATATAACCAAATCTAGACCAATCAAAAAAACAACAACGCTGACCCTTACTTAGAAGAGGAATGCAATTAGTTTTATGGTTCCAGAAATAATCTATTAATCATCAACTTCTGATACAGATTAACATATACACATATATACACATGTATATATATATCTTTAGTAAATGGAACGTCAATCAGTGGGAAGAAAAAAATCCCACCAACTTGAAAGATGTTCAAAAGTGAAAAGATCTTATAGATTTTTATTTTAGAGCAGAAGGAAAACAGACTATCTCTTAAGTAGATAAGATGGTTTCTACTACTTTTATAAAGTATCTAGTATCTATGCTTCATAACAGCTTTCTAGCAGGAATTATAGGAAATAGATTGACATTTCTGATAATGCTTTAGGGAACAAAGAGTAAGAAGTGAGGTTATTAAGTAATGCACACAATTTATTTTAAAAATAGGCTGGTACTTCCTTTGCCAAACACAAAAAGAGATAAAAAGAAATTTAATATGCAAGACATAATGTAATAGGGTTTGATTAATGATTTGTTGATGTCTAGATAAAACAGTCTTTAGAAATAAATATACCCACAATTATTCAAATAAAGTATATATAATTTGTAAACCGGGAGGCATTCTGACCTTGTTGCCCAGTCTTTTATCATATATTTGCATACCAGGGGGAAATCAATGGACCTACACAGATTTACAAATTTGAGAGACTCTTCTTGTCTTAGAAAAACCAATCTATCAAAAATATATATATTTTAAAAATATTCATTTTTGAGAGAGCAAGCATGAGCGGGGGAGGGGCAGAGAGAGAGATTGGGACAGAAGAGCCAAAGCGAGCTCTGTGCTGATCGCAAGCAGCAAGCCTGATGACAGGCTCAAACTCACGAACCATGAGATAGTGACTCGAGCCGAAGTCAGACGCTAAACTGACTAAGCCACCCAGGCCCCCTATCAAAAATATTTTTTTTAGTATTAAAAGAAAGGTATCTACAAGAATTCAGTTTTATATACACTGTCATGTCAAAATGAATAATAACATTATCTAATTTAAAATAAACAATTTTGGAAATAGGAATCATTTTACTTATAACCCTCACATTGGACTCATGATGTTCCTGACACTGAGGTTCTCCCTGAATGGATTTTCCTCCCAGAAACCATCCAGAGGTCATGGTTCCATCAACAATGAGGTCAAGTTATAATGATAGGATAAGGGATGTTTTACTCTACAAAAGGTTTATTTTCAAAAGATTATTAAAGAAATCTCATTTTTACTCTTGACCAATCAGAGCTAGCCAAACCACAACATGCTTTTCTGTCCCTCTGCTACTTCTGATGAATAATGGTCACAGTTCTTGGATGGAACATTTATTTATACTTTTTTTCATTTTCTTTATTTTAGAGAGAGAGCAGGAGTGGGGGGTGGGGAAGCAGAGGGAGAGAGAATCTTAAGCATGCTCCACGAAAGTGGAACCTGACGTGGGGCTCGATTCCACGACCCTGGGATTGTGACCTGAGCCAGAATCAAGAATCGGCTGCTCAACCGACTGAGCCACCCAGGCACCTCTTCACTGCAGAGCATTTAATACAAACACAAAAGACTGGGTGGGCACTGAGTTCCAAGGAAAAAATGGGGCTCAAGGCTAAAGAAATCTGATGAAAGCTTCACAAGCCTTCTGGAGAAACTGGCTTATTTAGATTTAAGCCTTGTATCCTTTTCTAGATTTAAGCCTTGTATCCTTTCAAAATGCTTATCATACTTGTAAGTTAGTCATAATACATAACAGGATAATTAGAGGGAAGCACAGAAATAAGGCCATCCAATTGGAGAAGAAGCAGAGGATGTTACTCAAGGCTACAGATAAAAGGCACACCCAGCAACCCATGCCAACCCAACAATGGTAAGGGAGGTTGGTGACTTAGAAATAAATGTGTGAAGCAGAAATCACCTGGCAAGTGGCAGTTTTGCTTAGGATATGAACATTTCAATAGGAGTGCATATTTTCACTTCCACACAAAGAGAGAGTATAAACAGGATGCATTGATGTAGTCCAGCAGTTTTGAGAATACAAAAATCTCTTTTGTGTAGTTGGTGACTGGCAGCTACTCATACAAATTGAGATATAACTTCTCTGAGAATTACTTGGGCCCCCCCTTAACGTATGGCATGCTCTCAGAACAGCGCTTGCAAAACAGCTGCTGTCTAAAAGCCCCAAAGGTAATTCTGATTGCTAGCAGCCAGTTAGGCCTCTTGACATTGGGGTTGTGAGTTCAAGCCCTACATTGGGCATAGAGATTACTTAAGGAAATAGGAAAGGGAAGGGAAGGGAAGGGAAGGGAAGGGAAGGGAAGGGAAGGGAAGGGAAGGGAAGGGAAGGGAAGGGAAGGGAAGGGAAGGGAAGGGAAGGGAAGGGAAGGAAAGGAAAGGAAAGGAAAGGAAAAGAAAAGAAAAGAAAAAAGAAAGGAAAAGAAAGGAACCTGAGGTCTTGATTGTGGTTTTCAAACTATGACCCAGAGGGGCGAATTATTTAGGACCTGCTGATGTATACTGACTTGGTAATTGGCATTTCTGAAGACTGAACAAATGACCTAGACTATAAATAGCTATACTTGATCGGTGTCATGGAGGCCCAGAGAAGATTCTGCAGCCTCACATCCTTTTCAACCATCTCCCTGCAATAGGTTTGTGAGGCTTCACACAGTGGCACTGATTATTTGCCTTTCCAGATTTTCCAATCATTAGTATCATTCAAATTGTCTCAAGACATATGTCTCAATGAATTATACTGTAAGAAGAGTTCAGGACTCTCATTTGTTATCCATCCTAGAAATTCCATAGTTATATGGTCTATAATCATCACTTAAAATTGTGAACACTAGGGGTGCCTGGGTGGCTCAGTTGGTTAAGCATCCAACTTTGGCTCAGGTCATGATCTCACGGTTCGTGAGTTCAAGCCCCGCATCAGGCTCTGTGTTGACAGCTCAGAGCCTGGAGCCTACTTCGGATTCTGTGTCTCCCTCTCTCTCTACCCCTCCCCATCTCTCTTTCTCTCTCTCAAAAATAAATAAATATTAAAAAAATAAAAAATAAAATAAAATTGTGAACACTGGGGTGCCTGGATGGTTCAGTTGGTTAAGCGTCCAACTTTGGCTCAGGTCATGATCTCCGGGTCTGTGAGTTCGAGCCCCACATCAGGCTTAGGTCATGATCTCACAGCTCATGAGTTCAAGCCCCTGTGCTGACAGCTCAGAGACCCTGGAACCTGCTTCAGATTCTGTGTCCCTGCTTCTCGCTCTGCTCCTCCCCCACTCATGCTCTGTCTCACTCTGTCCCTCAAAAATAAATATTAAAAAAGTTGTGAACATTATATCAACATATGAAATATAAATTTTGTTATAATTTCCGTTAAATAAAGGGTTTCTATTTTTAGATTTATTTGTTCCAGTTGCTTATCAAGCTAATACAAGATATTTTGTTTGCATTTTGGATTATTCAATTTAGGTTAACTAATAGAATACAATAAAAGGTTTACATTTGCAAAATGCTTTATTTTTTTAATTTCAATTTTAATTAATTAATTTTTTTAGAGAGAGAGAGCATGCACAAGAGCAGGAGAGGGGTAGAAGGAGAGAGACAGAGAAAGAGAGAGAATCCCAAGCAGTCTCCATGCTCAGCACAGAGCCTGATGTGGGGCTCGATCCCATGACCCTGGGATCAAGACTTGAGCATAAATCAAGAGTCGGACACTCAACCAAGTGAGCCATCCAGGTGCGCCGCAAAATGCTTTATGAACACGAAATAATATCTTCAAATTAGAGCTCCTGGAGATCATACAATCCAACTCTCCCATTTTGCAGATGAGAAACTGAAGCCCAGGATGAAAATGAAAATTCCCCAAGACTATGTACTTTCTTTTCATCAAATTTGTGCCAAACTGGATTTTTCTTAACCCGACTTAGCTCAGGTTTTAGTGTGCAGGGTACACATACCATGCCAGTCTAACTCAGACATACAGTACACTTAGCTTGGTGTCATACGTAGATAGATATGCAGTTATTTTATTAAATGCTTCCTAATAGCTAGAGCACATTGGATTATAAAGGCCCCCAGAAAAACCTGAGCAGGGCATAAAGGAGGGAGTTAGGTTAGTTGATTTAGGAATTCTGGCCCACCCTCTCCATGCCTAACAGGAGGGTTTAGGAGAAGTAGTCAGTCCCGCTGCCATGCGAGGGGAGGGGGCCGTGCTCATGCACTAAGCCCTCTGTAGTAGGCTTAGAGAAGTCAGACCAGCAAGCCTCAGGGCTGCGTCAAAGCAAGTTCAATGAAACAACAAACTGTTGAAGAATCCACATGCAAGAGGGTGGGGAATAGCTCTATATGAGTACTAAAGATAAAACAAAATACTTTACCGACTCTAGACCTGAGATGACAGGCTAGGTAGACAGAAAAGAATTAGTGAATTGATGGTACCCACAGAGGTCTGAGAGAACAACTTACCTTTTTTTTCTGAGAAAACAGATGGCCGTGTGCTAGATGCATCTTGAACAAGGTCAATAAACATGGGGTCAAATTGGGTCATCTCATTTTTGCACCTGCAGTTGGAGAGCATGGAAGACCAACTGCATGCACATGATAAAAAGGGGGCTTGACAGAATCTTAATAAACTGGCTTCCCAATTTGGGAAGTGAACATGTCCCTTTGTTTAGTCTTAACATTGTCATGAAGATCATACCAACACATGTGCAAAACTCTATTAAACTCAGGCCTCTGAGCCACCTATGTGGGATTTGTAGAAAACAGAAAAAAATGGTATTTCAAAGGAGAGATGTCTGACCATTGCTGACCTTTAATCGTGCCACAAAGTGGGTTGCAACACTGAGTTCAGAGGCAGGGTTCCCAAGGATGATCTCAAAGCGGTACTGCAGGCCCAGCTTGTCGCGCACCTCCTGCAGCCGCTCCTTGGCTAACATTGCCAGCTGCACAGAGGGCACCCTGATAATGAGCATGTGTCCCCGCCCACTTCTGGTTTTTCCTGGGGAGCTGATGAGGTCATCCATAATGCTGAGTGTTTCTGGTGTGCTGTGGTCTCGGAGTGACGCCATGGTGGTGAGGGCCATCAGAGCCTCTGAGTACTGCTGGATGAGAAGGTAGCAGCGGACGACCATGCTGTGTAGCCTGGGGTACCTTCAACAGAACACAGGGAGCTCGCACTCAGGCAGCAGGACCAGCTGAGACAGCAAGGTCTTTGTGGGAGAAATACAGGCTAAGCATGGTGGGAAGGGGTTACTGGTCAATGGAAGGCTTGAGCTCTAGCATGACCTTGGAACCCACATCACTAGAAGGAAAAGCTGAGCTTTCAACGCCTGTGAATCAGAACCTGTTGGGATAGGCACAGCAAGCTAAAGAGGCTTCGGGATGGTCTAGCAACCCCTAGCTTCCCTGAGTGTGGTCTATGGACCAGCAGCAGCATCCAGTGGCAGTATCACCTGGGAGTTTGTTAGAAATGCCAAATTCCCCCACCCCAGATATCTGAATCAGAACTCACATCCTGACAAGATCCCCAGGTAGTTTATATACACATTAAAATTTGAGAAGCACTGGTCTTGTCAGGTTAATTGTTGACACAGTCATAATGGATCATTCCTGGATCCTAACCTCTTGGTGGCACTGAGTTAGCATGGTGGTATTGTCAGCTTATTTCTCTGATACTTGACTACAGTAAAGAAAATTGAGACATGTTTGAAAAATATCAGAAATACAAACAATAATTATTACTAATAATTACTAATTTCAGGGTAGCCACTCCACAGACAGCAGTTTATCTTCCAATAAAGAAGACAACTGCATCTTCCCATAAAGTGTACCTTGGTGCTGGAGAAAACTTGGAGCTGAGTGGGGAAATAGCATCCCCTAGTGGTGAAGCCTCCTATCACCTGAGCACTGCTTAGTCAAGGGAGCCTGGCAAATAGGGGTGTCCTTGAATCATCCCAATACCCATTGGTACCCCACCCCACCCTGCCTGGACTGCCAAGTAAGAGGGTCACTTTGTTCAAATTGGAACTTTTTACAATTACAGAGCAGGCAGAAAATAAATCTCTCATTTGTGTGTTACTCCTCAGAAAGCCAGGCCTGCTGGCAGTTAAGTACAAATGGACAAAGAGGACCCCCTTGCAGGCATGAAGAGGTGCTGGTCAAGAAAGGAGGTGCTGGCGAAATGAGGATGAGCCTGTGAACTTGCTTTCTGGTCGCCAGCTGGCAGCACATGCAGCTGGGTAGGCCATGGGGTGGTTTGCCTTTGTTCCACGTTGTAATTCTATTTAAAGTAAGACAAGTGGTCTGCCAGGCGTGCACAGAAAAACCCAGGGTTAAATACCAATTAGGGTCATCAAATGAATAGCGTGGTTTTGAAGTGCTTTAGAGCTGGAGAGGACCATGGATGGCCTGGTTTTGACCACTCCCCTTTCTACCAGAAGGAGGATGAGTTAAAAGGATGAGAGAAACCTGGCTACTCGCCCAAGATCATGCAACTGGTCAGGGACAGAGCTGTGTCTGGATTCATTCTGGTCTCTGACAACATTTCCTTACATTGCAAGGATTTGGTAGATTGGGGAAAAGTGAAGAAATCCTTCAGTTTACTCAATGCTGGGCAAGTTCTTCAAACACTCAATAAACTATAGCTAGTATTAGTTTGAGTGACTGGGTTGGAAGAAGTGAGCACACAAGATCCATGTTTAAAGCTTAATGTTTTTTGATGGGCCAGGTAGGAAAGCCAAAGTTAGAATACATGGTAACTTTGATCTATAGGCATTTAGATCTCATACTCTGAAAGAAGTATGAATTTAGAAGTGAATAGTCTTCACAAGCTGTTATATTTGCACTGAACTGTAATTGTTGTTTTGTAAGTATTACCAAGGTTGTAAGAGAAGTTGACAGGATTGACTCTGAATGATATTACCAGAACGGAGGGTACGTTCCAAGCTGGTAGATGAAGCCAGTGGGTGGGAAACACTTAAAAGGGAGACTCATGGGATGATTCTGGAAAGTAAGATCACATGTGCTGTGGAAGGATTAATGTCACAGAGTCGGTTAAGTCTTCTTAAATCCCACAGCTGCAAAAACATAAAATCCTACTCCAAGGCTGTTCCTTTTCTTGACACAGTATAATAACTCTCTGGATAGGCTGTATCTCCCTGTCCTCATTTTTAATCTTTCTTTTTTCTTAGCAAAGTTATAGGGCAGGTTGTTAAATAGGTGGCTTATGATCAACTGGGGCCAGTTTGAAGAATGAAAGCTACTAAAAATTAGAATGTGCCTCATCAAGAAGAGTCCAACTGCCCCCGTCACTGGAAGGTCAGACAGACTATTGCAGCGGAGGGCAGGGAGGGCCGTGTATTAGGTTACGTAAATTCTAATGCCTCTGTGATGCTTCAAGTCTATGATCCAAAATGAGAGAGAAAAAAATAGGAAAACTCTTTACTCTTCTGGAGTTTGACCTGGACTTGGGGAATAAAAAGAAAGCAGAAGAGACAGAAAAGTAATGATCTTTAACTCCCAAGGTCAGGGACTGAAGGAGACACCCTTGGAACTGAACTCACTTCAATGATCTAATTGCTCCTAATTTTCTCCAGTCTATACTCCCACTCTCATAGTAAAGTTCAGTTTTTACTGAGTCATCTAAGGGTACTTGCCTGTGTGAATAGAGGAGGAAAGAGGGGAAAATGAAAAAGTGTAGGGTATACGGTGGGGGAGGCCACACCTCAGAGGAACTGGTCTTCAATTAGTAAATCCCTCTGCCCATCTAATCCCCTGGTAGTCACATGCTTGGGAGATGACTCAGAGCATGAAAAGTGGAGCATGATAAGTCCCACTTTGGGTCGCTAGTTTCCTTTGTTAGTCTTGGATGATCACAGAAAACCTATGTGAGTAAAAGGTCATCTTAGGTGATGTTATTTTTATTCTGCCTTTGCATGGGATCTGCACAGCCGGTGCTCCACCAAACTTCCTGTGACAGTGACATAAGAGACTTTCGGCAATTTTAGATACACAAGTATGGCTAAAGTAAAAGTTGAAGGTCCTTACTTACCTTTCCAGGAGTGTGTTCACCATTTTTTCAAAAGTCTCATCACATCTCAAAAGTGGACTTGTGATTCCCCACTGTAGAGACTTACTGTATTCATTCAGGCCAAAGTACAACTTCTCCTCACAGCTCATGTCCTCCTGATTCAAAACAGAGCAAAATCCAGTGAGGAGAGGATGCAATGTGTCTTGTTTTCTTTTTTTTTTTTTTTTTTTTTT